ACGTTCGACGTACCGTAAACGACTTGAGGGGAGAACTCAACAGCTAAGAAGAGCAACTTGGGTTCCCTTTGTGCCTCCAAAGAAAGCTACCACCGACCAACTAAAGGACTCAAAGCCTGGTGCCCAACTCTTCGACTCAACCGTTCTCCAATCGCTGTGTTAGCAGCTGAGACTTGGGCCGGCACTGTAGCCAGGTGGAATGCTCTAAGGACCATCCACAAAGCGCTACAGCGCAGTCCTCGAAGATGACTCGACACGAACATTATCTTGTCGGTCTTCGGTACGGATACGAGAAGAATGAGCCGTCTTGTGGTCCAGCAGAATACTTTGCGAAAGCGAAGCATCGATAGGCCGGTCACATCATGAGAAGAACAGACGATGGATACTGAAACATCAGAGTGGATTCCTCTAAAGCGAAACCTCCCCAAAAAAACCATCACCGAGATGGGCAGACGTGTTTATAGAACGGATGAAGATGAACCAGCTGAGAAATCAGCTGTATACTATCCTTGCACCTGAAGCTCGTGAACGCGCCACTGACGATAACCAAGAAGATCGTGGACGTCTGAAGCGAGGGACAAGGATCACTGGAAACTCTTCAGCTGGGGCCTCGTACGTCGGGCCATTAAGTAAGAAATAAGTATATGAGGGTTGTACTTTGCCAATATTTTAAGGCAGAATCCATTTTGAGTTTTTCAAATTTCTCACAATTACTTCTGTCAGAAACTTGTGTTCTTGAAGAGCTTAAACATCCAAATCTCTTCGTGTTCAAATTTTTAAACACTTACGACTCTTAGGCTTGAATCTTTGAGTGGTTATATTCAACTTACCTGAAATCAACACTTAGTCCAATGGCCATTAAAACGTTGATCATGGTAACTGGATCAAGACTCTGACCCCATAAAGCTAGGATTCCCAGCAAAGCTGAAAATATCATCTGAATATTAGGATGCACGGAAAAGGTTTTTTGAATACATGAGTTTCAACAACTTACTAAACGATATGGACAACATTGATACCGTGGCTATGGAAGCACCCGTCAAACTAGGTATCATGAAAGCACATGCAAGCGTCATACAAGCAAAAGTGATTAAAACGGCCTTGATGAGTTCATCCTATAAATAAAATGCTAATTCGTTTAAAGAAAGGCTTCCAAAAAACCAGAAAAAAGAAATGAGGGGGAAAACACTGACCTTAACAGCGATAATGAGATCGTAAATTGTGCTATCATAGTCGAACAAACTAGTTTGGAACTGTGGGTATTGATCAATGATCTTCCTCATACTGTCGATTTTTTTAGCTCTTAGATTCCAATCCAGATCTCCTAGAAAATATAGTTACGTAAGTTACTCTACAGATACCGTGGATAATTCCTGGTTCCTATGGTAATCATTTGGTTCGTCATCATTTTCGGCGAGAAAATTTTCAGTGGGTTAACCTTGACAGTTGCTTATTTCCCCTGACTTTTTCTCTCTCATCATATGTCAAAAATATTCGAATAGATCAAAATTATGTGAATAAATGTGATGAAAAATACAATTTAGATTCACTTACCACGACATATGACGATGTAGTTCATCAGGGCTGAATCTACCGTACCACTGAAAACTC